GGGGGGGGGGGGGGTGGGGGTTGAAATGTCAAAGGAAACATAAACGGATGAGAATTGTTGAATTGTAGGGAAACGGGGCGTCAGATTTAAATTCTGACAAGAGCTACAGATAGCTGAAATAACTTACTCTAATTCTGCCCAAAATTGAGGCAAAGATCCCTTTACCGGGTGTCATGGTAAATTTCCATTCGTTATAATAATTAATTAAACAGTATAGAAAAACAATGGAAATGATTTGTACGTTATAACCCTAATTAGTGGCGGCGCCAGTGGGGGAACAGGGAGGCATTTCCCCCCCTCGCCCCTATCCCCCCTAGAAAATAGATTGTACCCCTTTTATACCCCAACTTCATTTCTAACAAATTGAAAATATAATATTTATACGTTTTGCCCCAAAATATGTGTCAGGATGCACCAGATCAATTCTAAGTTTTGAAATTAATCCTGGTAATGAAACCCTCTCAGACACTCCATACAGCTCTGACAACCTCTCCCCTCTCTCCCTTTATGACAGTCTGTGCCCTAATTGGACCCCCAGTTCCTGGAGGATAGCGCCGCCGCTGACCCTAATCATATATAATAGTTCTATAACCATACTGTTACCAGCGTTAAGTATATAGTACCTTGTTAGTACATTACAAAACCAATTTATTATAGATATTGACATTGATTTCCTATTATCTAAATAACTAATTCGTTTAAGGGATACGATCGTTTAAATATTTGCTATACCAGACTACAGCTATCCGTGGTGCTTTTCAGAATTGAATCCCACGTCTATAGTTAACCTACAATTAAAACGATACGTGTCAGTTCTTTGACAGAACTGAGAGAGAGAGATATGCGCCCAAAAATATTTGCTTTACCAGTTGAAAGAGTTCTATTTCCGTGTGGTTTTTAAGGACTGGAATTCTACGTCTAGTTAACCTACAATTAAAACATTCTAAGAGAGAGATAAAGTTGTCTAAAAATATTGCTTCACCACGTGAAAGAGTTGTATTTCCGTGTGACTTTTAAGCACTGGAATCCTACGTTTAGTTAAGCTACAATTAAAAACGTCCAGTAAAAATACATTTTGTAATTGTAATATGAATATGTATACACCTAATATATTATAATAAATGTTTTGTTCAGCTAATATAACCTGAAAATAAATTCGACATTAGTTTGTACTGCATCACCTGACGTATTGAGGCCATTTATAATTTATTATTATGTCATTTGTACATGTCTTAGTCCGACTTTAATTTGAGGCCGAATCGAGGAATAGTATTAAAATTGTATGAAGATTCTTTCTCAGTATTTAATTAAATTCTAAGCGAATCACTAACACAATAATAAATTCCTTTAATTTATTCAATTGAGAATTGTGCTAAGATTTTAAGGGGCTGAGGACAAGAAGGAGAGTGTGCGAGAGGGGGGGGGGGGGGGGGGGGTTTAATGGTGAGTAATTAGGAGTATGAGATAGAGAGGGGAGGGGATGGGTCGGATCAGCATCTATTTTGTTAACGCCAATAGCCAATGATGGTAAAAGTAAAGGTGAAACTGTAAAGGTCACAATGACAAAGTAATAATTAAAATATATTATGATATATGATATAATAGAACATTTTGATAATAAAGCTAATTAAAGAATCGGCGAGTTTTAACCAGTATACTATCGACGTTGCTCATGCATTGACCTTAAAGAGATTGTAAAGAAGTTTTCTTGTCTTTGTATGTATATCAGGGACACTGATCAGCGGCTCGACTACCATTGGGACTGGTTGAACCAAGTCAAAGGTTCCTCACCCACAGAAAGAGTTCCAAAAAGGGAGATAATTCATGTCAAGAGTTAACACTTTACAGACCGCATTTAGTCTATTTCACAACATCACCCACAGAAATATACAAAATTAAAAAAAATGTACCAAGTAAGTATCTAAAAGGTTATCATATAATATCTAAAGGTTCACAACTTATGTTTGGGTCGTACCAAGCGCGGTATTATATACTACAGACTGAAAAGCCTAAATTTTCCATTAAAATCACTTACATGGGGTCTCAGAATGCAGGAGAGCATACATTTAAAGGGGGAGGGGACCCAACCCACTTCAGTCCACGGGCCCTGACCCATCTAGTCGAGCTACTGACACTAATAGCTTCCACTTTCTCTTTTCCAATTTTCACTCAGACGTCTATGCAGTTTACAGACACCGAATCAAGGTGCAAACGTACTTTGAACTTGCATAAGATGTTTGTACATATTGGATAACATAAGTACCTCTTATAAATATATATATAAAATATATATTTTAGCTATAGAGACCCTTGAGATCTGTCTATATATAGCCTATATAATATAATATATAAACAGCGATTATTAAAGATGTAAAGACGTGTCGTTGAATTTATAGACCTCTTCTCGACAGAGGTGACCCTTTGAATGATATTATTATAATTTATGGTATTCTGATCTCAATTTGTCCCACATTACATCTGGCAGGCCCCTAGCAGGCCAAGAAATGAAGTTGAGTTATTACATTTTTGCACCTGTTTGAGTTTATGAAGACGGGCCACGCCATGCAGTGTACAATTAGGAATGTCAACTAAGCCTACTTTTTTTCGATTTTCCACTTTGACGTACATAGACTGTAGCACACGGGGCCTCGGTTTATTGTGCCATCTGATCGACTATACGTTTTTAATGTCAGCCACTCCATCCTGCATCACTGACAAGGAAATCAGGTTAAAAAATACCAAGGTATTATCTAAACCTATACTAGATTGAACCCTGAACCTTCAGGTTAGTTAGCACCGCGTCTCTGGAGTAAAAACAGGGTGGGAACATGCCCTTTATACGATCGGAGTTTGACAGTAACCTTTGACTGTATGCATGAAACACGTATGATAAATATATCTATTTAAGTAGGTCGTCTTGTAAATGAATACCAATAGGGATGAGTGACATTTCGGGGTTTACTGACTGAAAGCGTCATAACGCCGACTACTTTCTTGGGTTACACACTTAATCATCACGTGATCTAAATGCTTCGGGTATTTTATATGCTAATGATATTACAGTCCGTTGTTGAAAAAGTTAAAATGAATTGAAGTTTTACGTTCTTATTTTCTGCGTCTGGTTGGCCTAAAGATGTTTGAGACCTGCAGAAGGAGGACTGATTGCTTACATCACGTGACGTTGTTGACTTTATAGACGTAAGAATGCGCGTGCATCGCATTGATATGATAGTTAAAAGGCATAACGCTGAACCTGGCCTGGGCGACTTTAAGGGAAATGTGTGGTGTATTTGAACTGAAATATTATCCATCTTAAAGTTAAACAGCATGTAGAAGGAGGACTGGTTGCATACATCACGTGACGTTTTTGACCTTCTAAACGTAAGAATGCGCGTGCATCGGGGTGGGTAAGCTGAAAAGAATAACCATAAACCTGACATGTGACTTTAAAGGAATGCATGATGTATTTGCACTGAAATATTATCCATCTTAACTATTAGCTATAGGACTTTTAGTGCAACGGAAAAGGCCAGTGGCTTAAGCCTTCTCATTCATTATTTTGTATCCTTGATAAGAAAGTTTATATGAACCTTTTTGACGAAGGATAAACCTTTAAATTCGAGTTTAGTGATAACCTCTCACAGTCACAACCTAATAATGAAAAAATCGACAACGGGCCATTAAATGATTTATAACTGTATATAGATATTTGATGTCCCATTCAAAACTCGGTCAAGACATTTGATTGGTCAATATCTTCAACAAGGTCAAAGAAGACATCGGAGGTTATATACAAGTATCTATGACGTCATATTATCAAGATATCTAGATAGGATTTAAAAACTCTGTTTCTTATCTCTTGAGTATATTGCTGGAGATAAAATATGTAAAATTATTACCCTTTACATTAGATATAGTTCATATTAGATCAGATAGGTATTCAAGGAGTTAGAGCTGATAAGGGTTAAGGGACTATTTATAATATTATGTCTCTGATTATGTTAGCGAGTCTGTCTGAAATGGCCCAATTGAAATGACGTTTTATTTTAACTCTTTAGGCTAATGAAGATGAGGAATCTCAATATATTGCAGTAGAAAATTCGAACCAAGAAAGGCACTTTCCCGTCTAAAAATGGAAATAAAGTTTTAATTCTCACGTTGCTGCTTCATATTAGGTTAATGCTCTATGTAATGCAAGCCTACGATAAGGCGATACAGCCCTTAACCTTTTCCAACTTTCAAATGAGGAGGTCAAAATTGCGAACCCTACAGCACTTAAGGCAATTTTTGCTTTTAATGAGTGCAATTATGTGAGTGAAAAAGGTTTGATGAAATGGGAGATAACTCTTGTCAAGAGATTACATCATACAGGCCACAGTTAATTACTGTAAATGGTCGAGGTATTCTGGGTCTTAATGCAAATAAAGGGAGTCATGAGTCCCCAAAATTGGGAAATAAGGCTCCCCAAAGAACATTGACGAAGACAAAATAACAGATAACAAAATTATTTTATATACACTAACAAATTTATCTACAAAACATTATAAAATCTTGCACCAAAAATATCGATTCTTATCCAAGCGTTGATAGTAATTTTCACAGAGGTTTGACACCTGCTAACCGACATCCGTCAAAAATAGTTACCATGGACTGGATAAGAGTTTCGAATCAATTGCACTGTAATTCAGTTAGGCTATGTAACCCACTTCCCTGAAAGTAAAAACAAGAAGGTTGTAAAACACTTTGGTTGACTCTCTGCATTAAGAGTGCATGCTAGGGGCGTGGTCCAGGGATTCTTATCCATTGATTACATTAACCTTAAAGGAGTCTTCTATATATCACAGAGTATGAAGAGTCGTCATTTTAACATTCACACGCGGATAATTCTGGTCAGGTTGAGCTGTAAAGATTATTACTGATTGGCTTAGCTAAAAAAAATTCCCGTTTCTGAGACTAAAGTATGATTGGTCAAAATGGAATGGCGCATCTGTCCCTTTATTAGGTAAAACCCCGTCCATTCCAATGAGACCATTGCACACAAACTTTCTAAGAGACATAATACATGTACATGTATTATCAAAACGATCGTAATCCTTATAATCTATAACCTCTTGAAAAACTGCGCTAGTATATGTTAAGTTAATTCAGGAATTAAATACAAAGCAAAACAGGCAAAAGGATTGTAACAGATGGATATAGTTTCTCATTTATATACAAAATTAAATAAAATGAGGGTTTACATTTATATCATAGCCTGAAAGCAGACTTTAAAATAATGTTGAAAATATAAAGTTGAAAATCGGAATGTTCTTGCTTCATTTATTCAAAGAGCAATGATAAAATGTTAACAAAATTGATAAAATTGTGTGCAAGAGGAGAAAGAATTTCATAATCATATTTCGTGTTATTTCAAAGCTAGCGCATACACTCCCTTTAAACACAAATGCCCGGATGTTATTTTGAAGCGCATATACTATATTTAACACACAAATGCCCGGATGTTAAGCTCAAGCCGGATTAAATACGAGCTAGCTACGAAGCATGCACATGCCGAGCTATGAAACTCTTACTTACATGATTGAGAATTAAACCGCTCCAACAGAACCCTTACCTATATTTCTGATAATATAAGCTGAAAATACGACTTCCAGAACCTGAAAATAGGAAATGAAGGAATTCAACGAATTTGATTGGTCAAGAAATAAAGCAAAGACCAATCATGCTAGGGGTGTGGAATGAATTGATGAATGGGTGAATGAATGAATGAATGAATGAATGGACGAACGAACGAACGAACGAACGAACGAACGAACGAACGAACGAACGAATGAACGAATGAATGAATGAATGATAGACTTATCATGGCAATGCAATAGTTCAGTTTGTAGCATCGTAAGAAAACATAATGAACATTGAATATAAATGAAATGAAATGGGGAAAAAATGAAGTGAAATGGGGAAAAAATGAGATGAAATGGAAAAAACAAAGGGAAGTAACTGATACCTGAAGTAACATAACAGCAACTACGATAGGTATCGCCCATTTATTTCCACTGGTTAAAAGATTTAAAAACGAATCGTAACATCCCTGTAAGAGAACAAATCACATATTTTATTACATCCATCTAATTGGAAGCTGAGAAACATAAGCGCAGAGTGTAACCACTTGCTTGGCACCAGCAGGGTTTAATTTAGATTGAAAAAGTTGACTAGCATTTCATCACACAATATTGTAGTTTTGGCTAATGAAATTAACTTTTGATTAGCATTTCTTGAAAATTCGGTAGCCATTTAAAATGTTCTAGTAGTAAACCTTCAAATATACAATTTGATTTGATCGCTGATTGTTCTCCCTCGACTTAATAAGTCGAATTTTGATACCATATTTTAGCAACTGTGAAATTTTATAGTATTTTTTAAACATTCGATTTATTAAGTCGAGGTAGAGATTCAAAATGGCTGTAAACTATGTTCGTGTGTGTTATTTCTATGTAAGAACAATACGTAGTTTCATATGCTCTACTTACTGTCTGATATGAATTGTCCCCGGTTGGAGATTTTTGGCACTCCATCGGTTTCTTCTTATTATCTTCTTCCACCAGTTTACAGCAAGATGGAGGAATTTTAACTGAAGCATCTTTATATTTCAATGCCAAAGTTTTAAAATCGTCCTGACCGTTTATTCCACAACAGTTCATCTGAAAGAACAAGTTAAAGAATGCTTATTAAGAGGCGTCCCCTTACAGTGGATCTTTAGGTGGGGGGGGGGGGGGGGGGGGGGTTTAAAAATAAAAATAAAAAACCGAAGGTCCCCAAATTTTCCTTTTGGCCTCAAAAAAAATTACCCCCGCCCCTTTTATCCAAAAAAAGGGGAAACCCGGGGGGCGGAAAACAC